TTCACTGGCGCTCCCAGCTCTGAGGCCATGGCCTGCTGAAAGCAGGTATCTGGGGTTTGTTTGGCTTCTATAATTGAAACTCTGTTGCATCCGGAGCTCAGAGCCAGGCCACGGCAGGTGGGGAACTTTGGCTTCCTCCATCACTGGAGCAAGCAAGCCTCATGTTCGCTTCAGCTGCATGGCTGCTGGCAGCCATCTTTGTTGGCAGTTAATTTGCATATTGCTCTGATTAGCCAATGGGAAGCATAGCAGAGGTACAGTTAATTACCCTTTTTTCTTTTATTAGGATAAGCATTTAGTAGGTCTCCCTAGATTTGCAAAATTAACTACGTTCTCCTTTAATTTCAGGGATACACATTCATTCATCTGTCCTCCCTTCCTAGAAATGGTTAAATTAGCCCTTAAGCCCTGGCTGGTGTGGCTCAGTGGATGGAGCGTCGGCCTGCGGACCAGAGGGTCCAAGGTTTGATTCCATTCAAGGGCACATGCCTGGGTTGCGGACTCAATCCCCAGTAGGGGGCGTGCGGGAGGCAGCCAATCGATGATTCTCTCTCATCGTTGATGTTTCTCTCTCTCTTCCTCTCTGAAATCAATAAAAAAAATTAAACAAAACAAAAAACACCACAATGAATGAAAAACTTTCTTCTCTCTCTTTGTCTCTCTCTCTCTCTCTCCCTCTCCTTTCCTCTCTGAAAACAATAAAAATATATTTAAATAATAATAATAAATAAATAAATTAGCCCTTAATACTTATTTTCACAGAAAATGTTGTATCAATAGCTATGATGAATTATCTTCTGCTCATTTTAACTTCTGAAAACTTCCCTCTGCTTTGTTTAATCAAGTATCATCAGTTTTTTCTTCAAAAGGATTATGGTATGAATTTAAACAAATTCTGAATATGATAGAGCAATATTCACCAACAAAATACAGTACTGATACAACTTTAAAGTATGATTTTGTAAAATTATTTTTAAGTTTAAAAAATAATTTTCTAGGGAAGGTAGGGGAGGGTGGGGGTAAGGGGGAGAGATCAACCAAAGGACTTATACGCAAGCATATAGACCTAACCAATGGACACAGACAACAGGGGTGTGAGGGCATGAGTGGGGGTATGGGGGTAATGTGGGGATAAGGACACATATGTAATAACTTAATCAATAAAAAAATTGAAAAAATAAAATAAAAGGTTTAAAAATAAAAAAAATAATTTTCAATGACAGATACATAACATTTCCAGATAAACTGCTTTTTCTATGCTCACCTACCAACTATATTATAATATTAACAGTTGTGCAGTAACTATGTGCTATTATTTAGAAGTAAAAGTTGTGTTGATATCTATAGTATTCAAATATAAATGTTGAAAATTTTTGGAATGCAAAACATACACTTCTACAATTCTTATAAACTTCATAGCTTTTGTTTCAAATATGCTAATTCCCATAATTACCTGCTGTTCGTTGTATGTATTCAATGTGAAGAGTGGCTTTTGAAGAATAAATTCTTCTTCAGTTCCAATACCCATCCTCGCTTTCGATGCCATTGTATCTGACATCATTCTAACAGGATCAAATTGAGCAACAATAGCAACCTAAAAGAAGAGAAAGCATAGCAACTTGGAACAAGATACAGGTTAAATGCTCTAGGCAATATTATTAATGTGTCATGTCCATTACAGTTCAGAAATTTTATTAAAGAAAAAATCTAAGAGGGGAGAATAGAAAGAATATTAAACCAGGACACTCCAAGAGATCCACAAAGGGGTTAGTAGTTTAAAAACAAATATATTAAAAGGCTGTAAAATATAATTGTTTCTGATGATTGAAATTATAGTTGTTATTACATTTACACAAAAATTTGTCTTTCTTATACAAAGTCACAGGAAATCTTATATAGAAAACCTACATGTTCAAACACCTTGAAAGTAACCAAAAGTAAACAAACAAAAAAACCAGTAATCTTTAACCACCAGCGATCTGTGGCCATAGTGACAACCTCATGAAACTTTCTAGAAAGTTTGATCTGCTTAAACTGAATCTAGAGAGCATATTATTCATGGGTAAAGTTGAGTGTGTTGGCATTATAGGGTCAAATGGGTGAATTTCCATTGTACCAGGCAACTAGATTTCCAGGGGCTGTTATAAACCAGTGCGCCCACTTCTGCTGAAAAACTTTAACCCAAGTGCTCTTGTTCTTTATTATAATTGAAATAATTAAAAACTGTGTCCTGATGAAATAAAGTCACTAATTTTGTAAATCATATGCACAATTTGTAACACCTGTCTGTTAACTCTTAGTCAAGGATTGGCATTAAAGCCCTGCCCAGTGTGGCTCAGACGGCTGAGCATCATTCCATGCACCAAATGGTTGCTAGTTCGATTCCCAGTCAGGGCACATACCTAGGATGCAGGCTCAATCCCAGTAGGCACGTGCAGGAGGCAGCCGACCAATGTTTCCCTTTCACATCCATGTTTCTCTCTCTCTCTCTCTCTCTCTCTCTCCTTCCCTTCATCTCATTCTAAAAATTGATTTTTAAAACTCTTTAAAAATAAAAAAATGTTAAGAGAAAAAATCGAATGATCATTAAAAATGGCACTTTTAATGCATTTATGAACTATAATGACATAACTGGGAATTGAAGATACTTTCATTATTGTAGGTTTCCTGATTAAAATCTTACACTATAGTTCTGAACACGAATTACAGATAATAGGCCCAGATATTTCCTCTTTCCAAGGGTTCACAGATGGAAAAAATTCTAATCATATACATGCTGTAGTTGTCAAAGTTCTATTTTGAACAAGGATGTGTTTAGTAATAGTGACATTAAGTTTTGTCCCCAGAAAGCCATGGGATATACTTATTTGCTAATGACTGAATAATTTAAATATTGTTGAATCTAGCATGACCAGGACTTACATTCCTATGCTTTGAATTTCTCTAATCTATTTTATCAAAGAAGATGAGATGCGTTTATAGCTCCTCTATACCACCTCACCTAACTAGACTTCCTTGGTTTGAATTCAGCCTGAACTTTGCTAGCGGTGTAACTCCAGGGAACCTCTGTGTCTCCTTGGTTTTCCCTTCTATAAAACAGGAATATTAATAACACCTACAGCACAGGGTTTTATAGAGATTAAATGGTTTAAAACCCAAGGGTGTTAATAAGAGGACTTTATACTTAATAAATATTCAAAACATGTAAACAGACATGACTACCAACCTACAAGGGAGGTACTAATATTCCCATTTTTCAGAGGGGGAAATAAAGCAACGGGAGTTAGGTAAAAGGCCTAAGTTCCTTCTGCCAGTGAGTAGCACACCAGGTTGTACCATGTTTGAAGGACACCAGAGGCCAAGTTCCTATCCAAGATTCTATATTGCCTCCACTGGCACTGAACAGAAACCCGTCATTGCCTAACAGCTGGGAAATGGTGCCAGTGGAGACTCCAGAGCTTTTGAGTTAAGCTAATCACTCCCAGGCTAAAAACTCTGAAAAATTGCCAAATAAAACTATTTTATCACATTTCCCAAGTTCTTAAATTTCTGATCTTGCCATGTACTATCTACTTTCTAAACTTTAGCCTACTTTTATTAGGCAAAGCAATGGGAGGCTTTTATTTCTCCATACAGACAAAAAAGTGAGGTTATATTTTTTAAGTGCTTTTTAACATGTTTATTTATTATGGGATATATCCAAACAGAGGTTCCTACCCCAAAGAAGATTATCTCGTTCAAGCTCCACCAATTTTTTGAGGAGAGTAAAATCTTCGGGCTAGATGCAGAGTTTCACTGCTGTAAATGGATACTATTCAGCTATTAAACTGGAGGTAATGTGGATGCATTTAAATCTTGGGAGAGCTTTTTAAAGGTGCTGATAAAGTTCTTTTAATAAACTAAGAAACTGGAAATGGTTCAACATAAACCTAATTGCTCCCCGGAATGAAGATCAGTGTCTCAATTGGGACAAGTTACATTTTATGCAGCAGAACTCCTAAACTAAGCCCGAGGAATAATGCTATTAGGGGCACTTAGCAACATTTTTTCACACCACCCATGAACATTTCAAATTAAAAACACCTGTTTCCTAAGGGCTTCCAGCCGCCTCTCTCTTTCTTCTTCTTCCTGTGCTTCTTGAAGAGCCACCTCTTTTTTCTCCATCAAACGCTTTTCCAATAATTGTTGTCTGTAGTTAACCCTTTAAAAACAATGCACAGGGAAGTTGGGAAAACATCACCATAATCTTGGACATTTTACGGATAAAAGCCGAAGGCCTCTCAGGTTTTGTTTTCAGTTGCTTTTGGTTGATTCCTCATATCCAAACAATAGAAGACATTTGTGGAAAATGCAATTTACTAATAATTCTCATAATAGCAGGAGAAACTACAGGTCATAGGGCAGGCAAATATGGGATAGAATCCAACCCATCTCTTTACTCATTGAAATAATTGTGTTGACTCACAAACTGTCTGTTGGCTGCTGCACCTACAGCTCATTTGAGCCTTCTGATGAGTTTTAACAATTTGAGATTTTTAAAAGGCTATGTTACTTATTAAATATATATATACTTTTAGAAAGAATACTAAATAAAATACTATAATAACATGCCCAAATTATCTTCATTACTAGAACTTAAACCAAACTATTTATATTGCCGCTCATTTTGTCAAAATGCTCTTTCTGTGTGTGTGTGTGTGTGTGTGTGTGTGTGTGTGTGAAGCAACTTTAAAAATGGCACTTGACTGTAGATGGCAGCAAAACATGACTTTGCCTTCGCATTAGGCTTCCATCCTCCTTAACATCAGCAGATATTAGAACAGGGCATAAACAGATGTTTTAATACCTCCCCCTCCCCCAACCTCCCACTCCCCCAGCTCATCTGGCCTTCCACCATTGTCTTTTTTGGGCAGCCTCTCTTACCATCATCTTGTCCAAGCTACTCTTTTACTGAATTACAGAGATGAGATTTGTCTTTTCAAAAAAAGTAGTCACCTGGGTTCTCCAGGGAGTGTGAGGTCATTGCTTCTCTCTTCCATCATTGATGATTTAACTTTACTTGTGACATCAGTCACAAATGTGCTTTCCCCTTGGTGTGTGCACCTGCATTTTCCATGGAAGTATCTTCACTAGACCCTTTTTATTCTGAATCCTGACTATGATTTTCCCTGTGCGACAAGGCTTGTGCTAAGTCCTTTACATGAGTCTAAGTCTCATTCAGATTTCACAGCAGCCCTATGTTGGGATGCCATTATTGATCCCATTTTAAAGATAAAGAGCTGGAAGCATAGACAGATGATGTCACATGTTCACGCTCTCACACCCAGGAAGTGGCAGAGCCAGAGATCAGACCCAGGCAGACCGGCCCCAGGGCCCATGTCCGCCCCTCCCACCCCCATGCGATTAACATTATATGCCCTTTTCTCTTCTTCCCTTCACTCACCTTACTGGCTTGTGAATCCTGACGCCATGCCAAACCCTGTGCTAGGTAATGACTGAGAAAAAGACTGTCCTTGAGAATTCGTAGGTTAACATAGAGATAAAAAGGCAGCAGGGTAGCTAAACAAGGTAAACAGTGCCTTCAGAGAGGTATAAGTAAGGCCTCTGGGGATCTGGGGGAGGGGGAGATGACTGCTTGCTGGGGTGGGGAAAGGACTACTGGTTTAGCAAGAGCTTCACTGAGGAGACAGCACCTGAGCCGGAGCTGGAGGATTAGGAGTCGCAGAGGCAAGGAGGCATGATGGCTGAGCAGGCCGGCCTTGCGGGCAGAGAGCGAGGGATGAGTCAGGGGAGGCGCTCAGGCTGAGCAATGGCAGGGCTGGCATCTCCGAGGGGGTGATTCTCCAGTTCTGTCCCCGGGAGCCTGGCTTGCCCCATCTGGTCACAGCCCTCAGAAGGGAAGAGCTGGGGTGGCCTGCACAGCGTGAGCGAATGACCAGTGATCGGTAAAGACAGGCCCAGGAAAGCATGGGCGGCTGAGCCAGGTCTTTCCCCTCAGGAAGATTTGCTTCTAGGGAAATCCCTTTAAAACCAGGTTGCTCCTGCCCTAGCTGGTTTTGCTCAGTGGATAGGGCGTTGGCCTGCAGACTGATGGATCCCCAGGGGTTCAATTCCGAGTCAGGGCACATGTCCCGGTTGTGAGCTGGACCCCCAGTATGGGGCGTGCAGGAGGCAGCCGATCAATGATTCTCTCTCATCCTTGATGTTTCTTCCACTCTCTCCCTCTCACATCCTCTCTGAAATCAATACAAAATATATTAAAAAAAACACAACAACAAAAAGAAAACCAGGTGGTCCAGAGGCTGGCACTGAAGAGGAAGCCATTGAAGAGGAAGCTCAGAGAGAAGAAGGGAGGGAAGCACGCAGTAAATCCCTGTGGAGGACAAAACCCAGAATGGGATTGGAAAGGGCAATCCTGGTGGCTGTCCTTCCCACCATCTCCTGAATCAGGAGCTGGTACAGTCAGACACACAGACTAGAGAGCCCACAGACCAGATTGCTCCCTTTCCCCGACGCCTCCCTGTCATGGGAAGCTGTATTTCTCATTCTCCCCATTTTCACTAAGGCATCCCTAATGAGGTCATACTCAATTTAAGCCCTGAGTACAAGCGAAGTGAACCACTGCGAAGGTTCGATTAAAAGATACACTGGGATTTGACAATTACCATATGCTAATTCTCAGAACCTCGGGAAAGTTTCTCTCCCTTTGGGAGGCACATGTTGCTTTGTCAGCAACAAAGTTTTATTTGGTTTTTTGGAACTGGACTCGTGAGGAAGAAATTGCAGATAAGAGTAAGGCATTTTGAACCTGTGTCGTAAGAAAGGCTGGTTCGTGGTTTACTTGGAGGCTCATTCATTCATTCCACAAATATATACTGCGTGCCAGCTCTGCATCAATCATTGTGTGAGTCACCGGAGATACAATTTCCACACAAAACACATGCTCCTGTCCTCACAGAAGCGGCAACCTAATGGGAATACAAAGACCAAGGCAATTATGACAAGGATGGCTCTTGCTCTTGCTCTAATGGGACGATGGGTCAGAGGCTGTGAGAGAGGTACCTCTGCCAGGCTTAGAACATCCAGGGGAGCATCCAAAAGGCAGTGAGTGCTCTCAACTTTAGACCCAAAACTGAAGCAGGAATTCACCAGAGGGGTAGTTGGGATTTTCCAGGCAGGAAAACAAACAAACAAACAAAAAACAATGAGAGAAGGAGCTAAACCTTCCTGGATCTTCAAGGTCATGTTAGGGGATTTTGTTTTCATATCAATAACAAGGAGACTAAAAAAGTTTGAAAGGGGAAAGGGATGATGACAGGTCCCAAGATCTGGCCTGGAGAAGTGGATGGGGAACCTTACCCATGGCATGGAATTGAGGCCATGGGGCAGATGTACCCATCAGGACTAGAGTAGGCATACCTCGCTGTATTGTGCTTAGCAGATATTGCCTATTTTACAAATTGAAGTCAAGACCCCACAACCAACATAAAGATTACAACTCACTTTATTGAAAAACTTGCTTTATTGGGGTGGTCTACCATGGAACCCCCACTATCCCAAGGTATGTCTGTGTAGAGCAGGGGGTCCTCAAACTGCAGCCCATCGAAAACATTTATCCGGCCTGCCGGGTGTTTTTGCCGCCGCTGTGTGCATAGGATTTTGTTCATAGTTTTTTTTTAAACTATAGTCCGGCCCTCCAACGGTCCGAGGGACAGTGAACTGGCCCCCTGTTTAAAAAGTTTGAGGACCCCTGGTGTAGAGTAAGAAGAAAAGTTGGCCTAAGATTGATTCCCAAGGAAATAACACTTATAAAGGGACAGAAGAAGAGGAAATTCTCTGGGAGAAATAGGAAAAATGGTGCCAAAGAAGCTAAGGAAAATGGGATTGGTGATACCAAATGCTATGAGAAGATCAATTATAATCCAAGGTATTTTTTGGATTAAGTAACAGGGAGCCATTGGTGATCTTGACAAAAGCAATCAATAGAGAGGTGGCTAAAGAATTAGTGGGAGGAGAGGAAGGAAAAGAGGAGTGGAGACCAGAGAGAGTAGAGACCACACGTTCAGTAAGACCTATGCAAAGGGGGGAGGGGGGGGCGCAGGGAAGGAGATAATAGAGGGGTGCCTAAGAAAGCACAAAGCTGACCACTGGCTCTAACGTGGTCAAGATTACTCTGATTCCCTTAAAGATCTGCCACAGGAAAATTTAAGAAAACAGGAGACACACTCAAATTCTTTTTTTCCCAGGTGCTATGGTTTAAACTCAAATAGTAATTCACTTCAAAGGGCGGTAACTCTTGGTGACTCTTTCTTCTTCCTCTCTGGATAGAAAAACTCTCTGCCTAAAAAGAAGTGATGCAGAAAAACTTCTGAAGAACGCCAAATACTCATTTATGGAGAAAGAAAATTAGCAACGTAGTGAAGTCAATCATTTGGAAAATTTTCCATGTAAATACCTTTAGCCATTTGGGGTAGTGGATTTTCTCCAAGTTAAACTGCTGCTATGAAAGTCAATGTCAGAAAGTGGCTAAACTCAAAGGTCTTTAAGTTGTGCCCTGAATTCCCAAACAGAATCCCAGAGAGGCATTTTCAACTTCTCTTGGGGAAAGAGAAGCATCGTATTGTACAAAAGCAACAGCTGCTGTAGAATCAGGCACAGCATTAGCAATAACCTGAGAAGGATGTATGTAAGCTTCCAGGCCTGAGTGTAGTTGAAGGGACAGGAAGCTTTCATGGAGAAGTGGAGAATTTACAGATCATTTAGGAGACTTCTTTCTGTGCGTCCTGCACTCTAAGAGATAAATGCATATGATTTGGAATCACCCTGGGCTTCAGTGAACCTTCAGTAAGAACTTGGCAAATTCTTTCATAGCACAGAATCTTGAACTCTCTTTATCTGGAGCCCCAAGTAACATCAAATCTAAAAAGAAGCTACAGAAAGCAAGAGGGGAATGAGAGACTTCTAAAGAACAGCTGATAGTGGCAGGTTCTACATTTAAAAAGAATGCTTTAAGCAGTAAGTAAAGCAACCTAAAGATATGTCTTAATTAGAGTATTCTAATTCTAATTAAGTATTGAACTTTCCCTCCTTTCTCCCAATGTTTCAGGGAAGTAATTTGCCCTACCGAATTAAAGGCAGTTTTATAAACAAACGTGCTACTCAGTGTTTAGGTCATGTGGCTTACTCAACATTGAACATGAA